CCCTGCCCCCCAACTCCAGCGCACTTGGTGTGTGGGCACTGGAATCAGGGGGCGCGACGGCGTGCGGCGTTAGAGCTTCTGTTCTCAGTCCTCCCACCGCAGCCCGAGGACGAGGCGGACTCGCCGAGTCGGAGCTGGGGGGTGGGGGAGTAGCGAGGTTCGCGCAGCGGTCTTCCAGCCCTAATTTGTCGCCACCGGGGGTCGGCCCCCGTGCGGGAGAGGCAATGGGGAACCCGTCCTTGACCCTCGCGCTGAGGCCCGCGCCTTCCTTCTCCCCGCCACCCGGGCGGCGCACGCCTGTCCTGCCGGGCTTCGTCTCGGGCTACAGCGCGGGCACAAGCCAATCGACGAGCGGCCAGGCGCTAATCGCCTGCGGGAGCCCCCTCGGCCGCCCCCGCCGTGGACTGCTGGGGTTGCAGATTTGGTTGCTGTAGCTGCTGCGCCTCGTTCAGTTTTTTCCTCCATTCCCTTCTAAAAGTGGAGGTTTGGGGGAGAGAAAAGAAAATTCAGCGTTGAAAGGGGCGGTACGCACTGACCTGTCAACGGTGGAGGAAGACCCCCGGTCGGAGCGAGCTCTCGAGCCCGCGCAGAGACGGGAGCGCTCGCGCGGAGCGGCGCGGCGGCAGCTGTGCCTCAGCCAGGTGTCCCCCCTCGGCGGGGCCCGCGCTGCCGCTCCCGCCCCCTCCCTCGGCGCTGTGCTCCCCGCCCCATCGCCAGGGACCAGGGAACCCCCCAGCTCGATTTTTTGTGCAGTTTCAGCAAAGCTCCGAGGAAGTTGGTCCTTTTGTTCCACTATTTATAGATTGCGTCAACATTGCGAAAAGGAGAAGGCGGAGCGGTGGCCCCTCCCCCTCCCCCTGCCGGCTCCGGGGAGAGAAAAGCCCCAGCACACGACCTAAGTACACAACGCGCCAGCCGCCCGCCCCCGGCCTCCTACTCTCTGCTCCCCCCTCCTCCCAGGCTGGGCCAAAGCGCTGCCAACCCCGTCACGTGCCCGCCCGGGAAAACCAGCTCCCTGGGGCTCCGCGCCGCCCGCTGGGCTCCGTGGCAGCGGCCTCGCCCAGCTGCAAGCCCAGCTCGTGGTGTCGGGCCGCGGCCCAGGTGTCGCGCACATCGTGGGTACCCAAGCGCTCGACACCCGGCGGCGATCCCAGGGTCCACGGATGTGGAAGTGCTCCGGAGGGTCCCGCGCGCGCTTCCGCCCCTCCTTTCGCTTCCCGCTCCCGGAGCGCCACCGCCCTGCTCGCGGTGTGCGCGCGCGCTCTGACCTCGCTTCGGAGCCAGGAGTCTGACACGTCCCTATGCCACTGGCGCGGCCCCTGCCGCCAGAATTGGGATGCTAGCCCCCACTACCCCGCACTATTGACGGAGGGCGGAGGCAGGAGGGATGCGGGGGTGTTTCGCAGCGGCTCCCAGGCACAGCGCGGGAAGCTGGGTGCGGGCGCTCGCAGACGCTCTCCCTCCGCAGGTGCAACGAGCCGTTGCTTGAGCTCACATCTCTCTTCCCGGCCGTTTAGAGCCCAAGGGTTTTGCAAACCTGAACCGCGGTGGGGAGAAAGTAGTTTTTGAGCAGTTACTGTTTTGTCATGGGAGTTAGTGTGGCAAAAACATTCTAACTTTTCTTCAAAATCTGATGACGAAATGATAGGCCCTGCCATACCCCGAAGTGAAACTGAGCTCCCAGCCGGCCCAAAGCCTCCGTTCCTGGGCTCCTTGTAAACAAGGAAGGCGGTAAACACAAGAAGGCCTTAAAACAAAACCAAGTGGAAGTGGCTAGCTTGTATGTAATTTACCTTCACTGCTTCCGATCCTCTCCCTAAATGATTTATTTAGATCGCAGTTTAACTTTCCAGGATTGGAATAGAATAATTTAGCCCACCAGATCCCTGGTGGAGGAAAACGAGGAAAGCTAGACGAGGGCTGGAAACGCGTTGGATCTTTCTCAGGGGCTGGACTGTGATAAACAGTCTAGTAGGATGATGTTGTTTTTTTAAGGGCCTTAGGGAAATTGTTCCCGCGCGCGTTCACCCTTGCTCGGGCTAAGTGCTGGCTGGTGATGGTGGTGGGCCCGTGAACCCCAAGCCGAACTCCTTGGCCGGATACTGGGTTGGTCCAAACCTGGGAGCGCTTTTGCACGGGCCTGATGGGTCAGCTTTAAGTTTTTCTTTATATGGACAATCTTTCCAGTCTTGAGCCATCTTTTGGGAGGAAGAGCAGGGAGGAGACCTAAGAGAATGGGTTCAAGCTAACAATGTGTGCGCCTGCTTTTATAAAGAGGGAAGCAAGATGAAGTAAAGCGAACTTGTGCAGTGGTTGCTGTGTTTCCCAAGTGTGGAGTTGAGTCGACCGCTTTGGTCCCCCACACCTGAGAGTGTGGAGCAGACTTTTTATTCCCCGGTTTCCTTCCTATTTAGTGAAAGGCCCCAGTCGCCCCTCTTCCCGTCTTTGTACCCTACCCTGCCTCTAGCATTTGAAAAACACAACCCTTCTAGAGAATCAAATTCGTTTCCGCGCCAATTTTGTTGCATCGATATCTACAAAGCACGTTACTTTTCATGAAGAAAACAAGCCAGAGTCTCCTGGCCCTTCCTGGTCCTATAAGGGCCAGAGATTGCCCAGGCCTCGGCCTCAGCCTTGGCTTCCCAACCCTAGCTTCGGACCAAGTTGCGGTGTCCCAGCCACTTTGTCAGGACACACGCTTTTCGCCCCCACTCTGTTCTCCCGCGGTCTTCCTAGCTGTGGAAAGGAGGAAGGGAAAGCAAAACGAAAGCACTCGGGGCGCATCAGTAGCAGCGGCTTCCCTGAGCGCGGCCCTGGGAGGACAAAGTCTGGGGTCCCGAAGCGAGGATGGGGGCCCAAGCTTCGCGGAAACCGGATGGGGGCAATCCCCGGAGGGCGCCCAGGAGTTGCCAGGCCAGGATCTTCTCAGTGCCCTGTCGCTCTTTTTCTCCCCCGGGAAAAGCGAACGTCAATAATAAATATACCAACCCCGCAGGGAAAGTTTGGCCAGGTAGGGAAAGTTTGGCCAGGGAGGGAAAGTTTGGCCAGGGTCTTGAGTTGAAGGTCAATACTGACTGGGTCCAAGCGGAAGGCACACAGAGCCAAAGAAGTGTGGCGCGGGGGTCGAGCGTTGGACCCCAGAAGCGGATTCCCAAGACGGTCACAGCGAGCGGGAGCGCTGCGAGGGCGCGTTGAGGCCGCCTGGACTCGAGGCCCGTGGCTTTGTGCTACCCTTAAGTCGGATGAGCACTCTTCCTCCCCGCAAAAATCAGATTTTTAAGCTGTTTAAAGACTTGAGGAAACTCTGGTGACATACTACATGCCGGTCATCCTCCCTTGAGGGAGTCTTTGCAGAGACAAAGACGCCCTGAACAGATTTGGAAGTGGCACGGCCCGCGTGGGCGGCCTTACAGGGCACAGGGCACAGGCTTTTCCTGTTAAAGCAAGGCATCATAACCGGGTGAAGGTAACTACCCACAAGCGCCAGTAAGAGATAGCAGCCGATGGCAGATGGTCAGCTAAAATTTGTCCTTGCTTCATCCTCCTCCACCCGCTTCCTAGTGAACCAACCCGGGCTGATTGGCCTGCTGAGCACTCGCCACTCCAGCAGCCTAACGTCCGAAAAACCGCATCTTACCTTAGTAAACACTTAACTTTATTCTATTTGATAACACCTTTGTGGTAGCAATGTTTATGGGTATGAGTGTTTTAAAAATGTTGTTCCTAAATGAGTCGAATGTGGAAACCGTTTTTTCCCCCCTGCGAGTAGTCAGGTCTGTTTTTCTCACAGGCACCTGATGTAGGACGCAGCGAGGGCGGTGATGTCTCTAGCTGTCCAGAGGCGCTTTTGCACAGCGCCTACTCGCCCTTGAAAGCGGGAGATGTGGAGTTGTGTTTGCATGGTTCAGCTTCTGCATCGCCAAATATTCATTTCACCACAGAACTCAAAAGCCGTCTGCTTTTGGTGTTCTCTTGGGTGAACCTCGGGAAGGCAGCCTTGGTTTCCTGCTAAGGTTTTGCCGGTAACAGGCAGCAGTCATTCCCAGACTAACCCTGTTGGTTTTCATTCCTCCTTTTTTTTTTTTTTTTTTTTTTTTTTTTTTTTTTTTTACCACAACGGCAAATAACAGAAAGTCCTAACTGTAAAAAAGGACGGCCCATTCCATCCAGATTTCTTTATACGTCAATGACAGGCAAGCTACAGGTGAAACAGACCCTTAGATTCTTCCTTTTACAAAAACCCTTTCATTAACAACAATAAAACTTTGCAAAAGCTGCTTTTGACTCAGCACACTATAAAAATGCCTGCGCTCACTGTGCTCGCGCTTTAGTTTCATATGTGGCCACTTTTCTTGCTGAGTCTTCCCCCTTGTAGCATATTTTTGTGAAACAGGTTCCATCGGGTTATCTTGCTAAACTGAGCATCTGTAATTATGAAGTTAGTTCTTAAACAAAAAGTACACGCAAGCCTTTGAAAACCCTTGGTGGTTTTTATTCCACCCCCACCCCCCTTAAAAGCCTACGCGTTCACAAATGATGCTTTGCCTGAGCTAGGTTCAGACTTTAGTCCCTCCAACGTTATCCACCCCAGCCATCCCCAGAGCCATCGAAAGCCCCAGCTTTGCGCACACTAATGGATCCCGCAACATAAACCTCGATTTGGAGTCCAGTTTGGAAACAAATCTGTCCCTTTCACGGTGAAATGGGAACATGCCCAAGAGATGCATCTGGCTTTAGATTTTATGAGGAACATGATCTGGAAAAGGGAACGCCTGTTTCAGCTGCGGCTATGCGTCCCGCGCGGGTCCCCTGGGGCTCCCTCTTGCAAACAGCGCGCCTGGCCTCGACCCGCAGGGCCTCAGCCGACCTCTGGGCGCCAGGCTTTGGGTTAACCCCACACCAGCGCGCTCCCTTCCGGGCCTCGCCTGGGGTCGCTCTCAGCGGCCTGAGGAAGCTTTTCGACCCGAGGAGAAAGTTTGAGGCTGCAGATCAGATGTCCTTAAAGGCACTAGGGAAAGGGAGAGGCTCTTTGCAGTCAGTGCCAAGAAACTCGGACACCCCACGCTCGCCATGAGGCGAAGGGAGCTATCCTGGGGGAGCACAAGTGTTCCCGAGACTTTGCCAAAGGTTCGGCAGCCCGGAGGTAGCGTGTCCCTCCCCACCTCCGCCCACTACTGGTGGTTTCACAATCCCCTCCAGACTGCTTCAGGAGTGACCCAGGGGGGAGCCAGAGGGTGGGGAGAGTTGAAGAAGATGGACCTTCTCTGTTTCCCGCCCCACGGCCCAGGAAAACCTCCAAAGGGTTAAAATGACGCGGTAGGGTGGGCGGGAGGATGGTGCCAGAGTTCGACCCTAGTCGGCGGAAGAAGAAGGGTAGGGGTGTACAAGTTAGAAAGAGGCCAGCAAAACTGGGAGCCAGGGGAGACGTGAGGCGAGATCCTCTGTTATAGGGGCCGGTTCCAAGGAAGACGCCGGACGGATGGGGCTGGGGCTGGCAGCAGAGGAGTCGAACTGGTTATGGAGCGTGTCGGCTCCCCTGGACAGGGTTATGTCAGGAGAGCGCCTTGGCACCGAGTTCTGGCCAGAGGTAAAGATACTCCCCCTCGGGCTTCTCCCCGAGCGGGGCTGGGCGGGAGCGGAGGGGCGGGCAGTACGCCACGCCGAGCCCGGGCCGCTGAGGTCTGCAAGTCGCCTTCGGAACCCGCCGCATAGTTTCTCTAGTCAACGTGGAAGAAAAAAAAAATCATCTCAAATAGCGCCCCTCGGCCAGTAGTCCTTCAGCGCCGGTAAAGTAGGTAGAAATGAACTCGGGGAAGAAAGTTTAGAACGTCCAGAGTTTCCAAGTTTGTGGAGTGATGGGGACTCTTGACAGTTTCGCAGAGAGCTGCACCCATTTCCCCTTCTAAAACAGGACCGAAAGAGTGTTCCTCCCAAGAAAGGCTAAAGTCAGTTCCCCACGTGGAACCTCAGCTGTCCCGGTCGGCGGACTTCGGGCTCCTCGGGCTCGCCTCTACCAGGGCCGCGGGGACCGTCCTTTAGAGCAGCCCCATGCGGGCAGCGCGCGACTCGCGGAGCGCTCAGTCCGGGGCCCGCGGCTCACCGGGCGTTAGAGCAGGAAACGCTTCGTCGCGTTTTCGGTCTCCCAGTCAAAACATTTGGCTAAATCTCGAAATAACTTTTTGATAGACCGGAAAAATACCGGGACAAATAGAATCGCCATCAGGCTTGCGTCAGAGAACCATTTCCCCTCTGGACTCTAGTGAGATTGTTTTTTTCATTAGTTTCAGGAACTGAGTTTTTGATGATTTACCTGCCTGCTGCAGCTCCTGGCAGTATTCTCTTCGCCTCCTTTCCCCACATCATCTAGTTGTCCACCTACCCCGCAGCCCCTCAACTTCGGTCATCCATGACTTCGTAACCATTACAACGTATACAGTCCGGCAGTCTTAGGCAGCTTTTATCAACGGTCAATACAAGCCGAAAGAGTTTGCACAGCCCTCGCAAAACCGGTCACATTTTCAGTTCCTTTGATGCTCAGCGACAAAAAGAGTTTTGCTTTGCACGTTTTCTTTTTTGCATATGGAGTTCAGTGAGGGTGCTCTCCCAGTTACAAGTTTCCTCTTCTCCCAAACAATTTCTAGGAATCTGTTTTTACAGGGACCTAAAGGATTAGGAGAAATTTAGCTTGTGCTAAATCACACCTTCACGCCCGCCCCACCCCCAGACAAGGATTAACATTAAACGATGTTAATCAGTTAAACAAAACAGACTTTGTTATCAGTAGACATGGCTCTCCCCACTAACCTTGGCTATCCTGTCACTTCAAAGAAGGAAGTAATAAAAACGAAATTCTTTAGAATAAAATAAAATTATGAAAGCTATACATATGAGGTCTAGATGCAGAAGATGGAGGTTTCAGGGTTTTTTTTTAAAAAAAGATTTCTTATTGATAGGCAATTATTGATGTGAAACGATATATATATAGTTAGTACTATCTGTGGGCCAACACATAGTAGGTGCTCAAGGATTATGTAGTCGTCCTCTCTCCTTTCCCTCCCTCCCTATTCTTGGATATTTGGCAGGAGATTCAGACTTCCCAGTGGCTAAAGAAATTATGCTCAAACTTTGCTTCTGGTTCATGTAATCTCCACTCACTTAAAAACTCACAAAATTTATCCAGGGAACTTTAATAGCGTATTAAAACTTAATGGAAATAGCTAGAAAAATAAAAAAAATATGGTGATTACATACATATAAACCTGAAACACATTAAATTAATTCGAATTTTTCAGTGGCTGTAATGGGTAACAATTACTATTTGATTCCGTTTCCCAATTTCTACAGTAAAAACGAAATTTGTGGGCTCTTGCTCACTTCTAGCGTTTCTGCTACAGCAGCTTTCGCCCACATACTGATGTATCTCGACCTCATATTTTTCATAGCGCAAATTTTATCTTGAAGCTATTCAACTATTTTGAGAGAAACTTGTGCTCATTTTTTCTTTAAAAAAAAATAAGCAAATGGTGAAAGTTTGTAGCACCCATGGGTGGAGAAAACCCACCTACCAGCTCCTCCTGCTTTGGGTGCAGAGTCGCTGGAGAGTAAAGTTGCCTGGAGCGACTTCCCAGATCCCGCCTGGTCACTACCTTATTTTCTTTGGGGCCCATTTGCGGGGAGTAAACAGACACGTAGCGAGTTTCCTGGCAACTTCGCATTGCTCTTTAAATAGAGCATACACGCAGTTCACCTCCACTTGCAGGCTTTCCTGCCTCAAATTGTCTTTTTTTTTTTTTTTTTTAAATCCCTCTCTTCTCCTTCCAAATGAGGAGGCCGGTCACGTAGGGTGACCTCGTGTAAGCGGCAGATCTCAGCCCCCTGGGGCCAGGCTGCCCCTCAGGGAGAGCAGAAGAATCGCACCTAATTAGCATCTGGCTCCCGCGGAGGTGTAATGCGTGGGCACTGCGTGTTCATCTCTTTTGCTGCATCCAAGTTCAAAGCGTCGTACGTGATGAGAACTTGGGGCATCAATATCTTCCTCACACCAAAGCCCTTAGGAGATCTCTGGACAGACGGAGGAGCGCGTTATAGTGGCTTCAGGATCAGGAATTTCCTCTCTTAAGGTCTATTTAGCTTGTTATAGAAAAACACATCATGCATGAACACCTACAAATATCTCCCCGTCCTCCACTCCAGTGGTTCTCAAGACCCGGCTGCGAGTGTGAATCCTGGAGTCCCGCTCCTGGTTCCTGCTCGCGCAGAGCTGAGAGCGCAGCGCGGAGGTCACACCAAGTTCAGCGCCGCACGTTCATATCAGAATTGGAAAAGCCCAAAACTTTCAAGCCCGTCCGGGAGCTGCTGTCTGGGGCTCAGGCCGGCGCCCCCTCAGAATTCTCTTAGAACGCGAAAATTGTGAATTACTGTGTTTTACGCAAACTGGGCGCCACTCCTGAAGGGCCCAAGGAAGCAACTGCTTCCCTTCGGTGGGGTCCTGGCATCAGCGCGACCAGGGCATGTTATTTTTTTGCAAACTGAGACTTGAAGTGAGCCCCCAACCTCCACCTCACCCCTGCGGCCCGGGAATAACTCCAAGGGATCTCCCATCTGGATATGTAAGGGTCGGAGCAGGTCGCGGTTCCCGGACTTCTCAAGTCCTGGCCAGGCCTCGCACCGAGAAGCAGCTAGGACGCCATCTCGACCCTGCCAGGGGCCCAGAGGGACCGCGGCAGAGGGAAACCCACCCGGGCTCCCGCGCAGCAGGAAAGCCGGAGGCGTTCGGACGGCTCGGCCCGGAACGAGGGGCGCGCAGGGAAAACTGTTTCTCGAGCTGCAGAGCTCAGGCAAGTCTGGCGGGGAAGGAATCAGAGGCGGGAGGGAACTCTGTTCTCAACGTGGATCTTGCCAGTCTTGGCTTCTCCGGCGGAAGCACTCGGAACGGAGCGAGGGTCCCAGAAGCTATATGGGTCCCAGATCTATATAGCTCCCTGCTTGGGCTAAGAGAAGCCTTGCCCGACCCAGAGTTCCCAGCTAAAGCGGTGCAGCGACCTCCGGTTTTTGGATGTCAGACGTAGTCTGGCCAAGGTCGTCCAGTCCAGCGGGCCTACCCCTCAGAAATGAGACTCTGCCGGTATGGCCTGGAAGCCTCAGGCAACGGCCTAGACGCAGAGAATTCATAAGAGTATTTCCAGGCCCCAGTGGCCTGTGGGCAGGGGTTAGCACAGGTTTTTTCTTTGACCAGAAAAAATTATCCAAGTTTCCCAAATCTGCAATCAGTGAACTCAAGGCCAATTGCATTCTTAGAATCTTGTCCCTATTTTTGGCCGTAGACATGAATTAAGACTCTTCTCCTATAAATGAGGGCTCACACAGAAAAAGGGTGGATTATAGGTCTAGTAAAGATCCATTCTCTAATAAACACATTCAGGTATGTGCCTCCTTGTGGGATATTGTGTGCACCCATACTCCTGGTCCTGCCAAGGAGAGGTCCTGGGTGTGCTGGGTGGGGAAGGTGGGCTTTTCTGCAGGGAGAGTGTAACATTGCAGTGAGAGGCCTACTTGGCCTATTTGGGAGGGAGAATCCTACCTGGCCTGCAAAGACCAGGGACAGGACTGGGACCTGTGTGTGGAAGGAAGGGAGTGAGGGGATAAGGACAGCTTTCTCCCAGTGAAAAAGAGCCCTGAAGCTAAGAAGGCAGGGTGGAAAAGTGGGATAAAGGTGATGTAGGACAAGACCAGAGCCCCTGGAGACCAAGTTAGAATCATAAGTCTATTTCCTGGCTGAATTTGTATTTTAAGCTTCATTCCCATTTGCTTCCCATTTTATCTTTAGTCAAGTGTTTTGTTTTTAAATCTTGCCCAAGGAAATAATTTGGTTAACAGGTACATTGTCTATTGAGAGACTATTGTACTTGAGACATAGGAATCCATTAGTGAACAAAACAGTTCTTGTGCTCACAGATCTTACAATCCAATATTTTTTTCCTCATAGAGAAAGAAGCAAACGATACCATGAAAACGGATAGATGATCACATCCAGAGTGACGTGAGTATGGCTATTTACAAAGTTCAATATCCCTGGAACATAGAAAGCAGAGGACCTGTCCTAGGAGTAGAAAGTCTGTTGAGGAGATTAGCCTGGATCTGAGGGAGGGTATCAAGACTGAGCAGTTCATTGATAGGCAAAACAAGACTTTTATGAAGGATCTTTCTTTTCTTTTCCCAGTGGTGCTCTACCACTGAGCTACATCCCCAGCCTTTTTGAGATGGCATCTTGCTAAGTTGCCAGGTTGGCCTTAAAACTGTGATCCCGCTCTGGGATTACAAGCATGCGCCAGTGAGCCCTACCATGGAGGGCCTTGCATAGGTCCTTAGCTGGTTAGTGTTCAGAACCCTCTCTGGAAACATTTCTGAGGCTCAGATATACCATAAGCTAGTAACTCTGTGCTCAAGAGAAAAGAAAGGTCTTGCAATGAGCTAGACCAAAGAAAGTGTTAGCTTGATGTCATAATAATTAATTATGAAAATAAGACATGCTATTTTTGATTGGAACTACTGCATTCCTTTGTAGCAGTATTGATGGGCACAGGAGTGCTTATCGTTTCCTAGCATTTCCTGGGCACTTCACTTCTCCATTAACCCTCAGGACAAATACAAGAAGTAGGTATTTTATACCATTTTATAGATCAGGAAACTGAGGCTCAGTGAGATTGTAAGAGTTGAGTAAGTGACAAAAATTCTGACTTCAAGCATGTGTTCTCTTCATTTTTCTCCAGGAGGCCCTTTAACCCATTGGATGATGGTTCTAAAATAAGAAAGTCATATTAAGAGATTCATAATTGAGAAATTTAAATCTTTGTGGAAAATTATAAAAAATTAAAGAAAGTAAAATAGGCAGGACAGCAGGAATGTTTTCTATAAATCAAATTCACACAACACTATTAATTTCTCTTTACCATTGCTTGCTAGAGAAGTTTCAAAATGAAGAGATGCTTAGTCATTAGTTTTGTTTTATTACACAGAGAAACACATGTTAGTCTAGTCCTAACACTTCAGTGGAAATTCTTTTGATTTTTGAACTTGCAGCTCTAGGTCACTTTCCCTAGGTTGTGGTTGAAGGTGGCTCTCTTCACATATAGAACATCTGAGTTTTGTGTTTGGGGGAGGGATTATGGTAATATTCTAAATTTATAAGTTGGCAAAATTTCATAGATAAAAGGGAAACTTTTTTAAAATCCTAGATTTACACTACTAAATCAATTGGTCATTTCAGTAATCTGCTTGTGACTGTGCTGTGTGCTGTGTGCTGAGGATATGACATTGATTAAGACAAACTGAGTCCTTGCTACTGGAAAGACCATAACAGGAAGGAAGGAAACCAAGGCTTTTTCAGCTCCTGCCATGTGCCAAACACTCTACTAGACTCATTTTTCAGACAAGCCTTCTGTCTGTTCTTGAATATACAGAAC